GGAATAGCATTTCTGTTTTGGAAGGTGCTGGGCTTGTGTGTGTGTGTGTACTGTCAGCCATGTGAATAATTCATTACATGTCAGGGGAAAAACGATCTGGCTTCATCAAAATGTAGTTAAAAGTTGGACTAGCTTTTTCAGTTGGCATTCTGCCAGAATGAAATTGATTTGCTGGAAGCTTGAAAACCTCAGTCTTCTTTGAAAATGACATAAAACAACCGTGAAGAATGAGGATTTGAAGTCAGTTTCATAACTTATATAAGTTATAATATTGTCTTAATATTGGATTAAGTTTCAGTTGGTAAAAACAGCACTGAAAATGTGTTTGAACTGTGCTGCTGCTGTATGTCAAGCCTTGACATACATTCTTGGACTTAATACATGGTGAGATGCGTGGTCACCATTGGGCATGCTGGACATTACGATATAAGCATTCAATCTCCTGAATCTAGACTTCTCGAAAATGGTTTTCCATGGCATTGGAACTTGGTTAAAGGCACGTATAAGGCTCCAGACTGTATGATACCAACAATACCAGCAAGAGAGACATTGTATTGATCTGGAGATCTATACAAGACAATCACCCTCTGCCAGTGCCCAACTAGCCAATAAAGCTATCTCTCCACTAACCAATGACCGATATGAGCTGACCTGATGCCACTCATTAACATGTTTCAATATCTAAATGGTCAGCAGAGTGTACTTAAGGTTGATAATGGCCAAGCGTTTTGTGTAATGTCATGCATGTGCCGATGCTTGCCGAATAAGCTGTATGAATGATCACGGCTACTGGTGGATGAGACTCGTCTCGCTCCCAACAGGGAATCAGATGGCGCCAACCCACGCACTCTGTTTCCTGGTCTGGGAGGCAATAGGTTTGGCTCTGTCTGTGTTTGCCAGTCACAGTGCAATTGCTCCAACACTGAATTAATTTGGACCTGTTCTGTGTTCATCGAACGTGATCTGGCAGATAGCTTCTTGAGTGAATGGCTTGCAGCACTAAGCACTGTGTGCAACAGCATGGCCGAATCATGCAATTATTGCATCTACTACCCTTAAAAACAAAGTTTTCTCCTTGTTGTTCAGAACACTAGTGCCACCCTGAACAGGTAATTCATGATCCCTTGCAATATTGTGCAGAATCTCTCGGCCACTATCACCACATCCAATATCAAATGCTTTTTTTTAGGTTATCATTGATTTAGAGGTCAAAGAACTAGGCCAAGTGCGGTGCCTTTATCATATTCAAATTAATACAGTTACTTCCATGAAGATGTACTCAACATTCATTGGATATTGTATTGAGATGAATGTTGGTAGAAGTTAACTGCTCTCACAGCAATGAAACAGTCTGTGTAGATTCTACATGGTTGTAATATTCATGTAATCATCTTCTTCACCTGCACTCAATTCCACAAAGAGATCTTACTAAAGATAATAGGATCTACCATACTTTAACACTGACATATGACCACTGAACCATGACCCTGCTCACATGTATTGTAGGAAGAGAAAAGGCAACCCTCAGTCTTCCAACAACCAAGTTACAGTAAATAGGAATCTGAGCCTATATATTGGTGACGGCTTGTTGGCAATACAGCTATCATGTTGCATGCATGTGTATATATAAATGTTTAATAGAAACAAATAAAGCCTGAAAAGGAGCTCCCTTTAAGATAGGCCATTCAGAACCTGATCCTGAGACTTGCTTCAGGCTTTAGCACTGCAGCAGGAATGTGATTTGTCCTTCTAAAGTCGGAATTCCGTCTTTTTATCTTTCTGCGTTTTTTTCTTCATATGGTGCTGTCTGTTAATTTTTGCATGTTCAATTGATAAAAAATCTGGACCTGGCTAAATTTCAGTCTTTTTCAGTTGGGTCAAATCACATCCCTGCTGCAGAAAGGGCTAAGACTAAGAGGAAGGGAAAATAATGTGATTTAGGAACTGAGAGAGAGGCTAAAGTTTTGTTGGTGGGACATAGGAAGGCCCCAAAAAAGTTGATATCAAGGGTTTATCTAGACAAACTCAATATTGGGCCTGTCTGCATCATATACCCCTGATATATGAAAGAAGCAAATTGAAGGAAGTCATCACGTGCTGGATGGTTTAACTGCCTACCTCAGTAACCCAACATTATCTCTTTTGATGAAATACCTGGTGGTTACCATGGCGATATGTTTGATGTTCAAAATACTGGTGGACACGGCCTACAGGCATGACTGATATTGTAAGAGTGCTGGCATCAAATGGAAACACTGGAATGTCATCAGTACCAGCAGATTATCTTGGAAACCGGCAGCACAGGTTGATTCCAGACATAACTAGGTCAAGGGGTAGATTTTGTTTTGCTGTTCCATATATTTGTACAATGCATGACTGCATTATATTTGGGGAGCACTGGTAAATGAAAATGTAAAGGTCAGCTCAGCCAACTTTACTCAAGGGATATGTAATGGAGGACTATTGAATATGTTAGTCACCATATGGGAATGCTTTCTTGTAGCACCAGTTGGTTCTCAGAATGTATTGAAGTGTATGACTCAGCTCTTAGGCAAAGAACCACATCATTTAATGTTGTATACTCTCTGAAAGTTCAGGTTACCCTACTCTACATATGCATGACCTGGGAGGTCGAATGGCACGAATGGCAGGTCGAGTTAACTTCATTAAATAGGGGGAGCAGAGAAGGTTATTAATGTTGCTGCTCGCTGCCTAAAACCCCGGATCGGAAACATTCAACCATCTGCAGCTTCTTTTTTAAGTTTAAAGAAAGTTAGGGCGTTGCTGGCGATTTCTCGACACTGAGATGTCAAAAGGCGACTTCGTCTCGGCTGTTCGGACATGTTGACAATCAAGTGACAGAGATGCACCCCTTCACAATAATAGGCCCAACCAGTTGTGACACGATCACGTAATGCATTAGTATTCACTTGATCAGGTCAAGCTGAACAAGCTGCATAAGCATTAACAAACATTTGTTTTGTTTTGTTTTAAACATATTTTATTCATGAGAAAAGGATTGGGTACAAGTTATACAACTTAGAACACCCTCTCCGTAGTATTTACATAGTATTATTTACATTCATTCTACAAAATGGACAGAGAAGAACAGAGCAGAAATATGGGGGAAAAAAAGGAACAATTGCAACATTTAAGAAAATCGTTTTGAATGACAAATATATGTTTGAACAATTTTAAATCTGTTTTGATTTATGTGAACAGTCAGATCTGCATTGCCATGTAATAGTAACTCATAGGTTATATCCACATTTGTAATACTGCGTAAATTAGTCATCATGATAGTTCTCTGTACTGTATATAATTGACAGTCAAATAAGTAATGATGAGAATTTTCACAAACATTTCCACAAGAACAACTTGGGTTATCTCTTAAACCAGCACGAATAGATCATAATTCAACTGACTACAGGTGTAGCGTAGTTTTGTAAGGATGATGTTAGTGATTCTCGGTCCAGAATCAAAGTATTGAGGAGCAGTTTTATGTTTTATAACAATATTCGATATAAAAGAATTCAATGACTTCGCTTTTCTCACTTCAACTGGAAGTTCATTCCACATTCTAATTGTGGATGAAAAATAAGAATCATGGGAAAATTTTAATCGCGAAAGGAAGTGAGATATCATCAGAGTTCGCGAAGATTATAGCTACATTTAGATGCTACGTCCCCAGGAACAAGATCAATAAGGTACGATGGTGCCATATTATTCTGTATTTTGTAAAAAGGCTAAAGTTTACGCTTTCTCCTACGTTCTGCTAAAGATTCCCAACCAGTTTCATAATACAGATGTTCATGATGAGTATATTTAGGTAAACCTGTAACAATTCTTGCTGCTTCTAATTGCAGTTGTTCTAATTTATTTGCTTGATATTTAGCACATCCATCCCATACTTCACACGCCGCATATTCAAAATGGGGTCTTATGAACATTACGTAAATTCTATTCAATACAGAGCGTGGTAATAAAAATTTGAGTTTACGTAGAGAAGATATCATTTTTGAAGTTATTTTTACAATATTATCAATATGGTCAGACCATTTACAATCTTTTGAAAATGTTAATCCCAAATGTTTATGATTATTAACTGTTTTGACACAAACCCCGTTAAAGTACAGATTTAGTGCATCAACATTCTTTTGCAAGGAGAAAAAGATTGCCTCAGTTTTATCAGGATTGTATGTTATAAGCCACCGCTTTGCCCAAGCCCGCAGCCTTTCCAAGTTTGAATTCAAATCTCAACAAACATTTCAAAGACAGACATCTTATGAATGCACCACCATTTCTCTTTATCACCACCCCTAAACACAACGCAGTAGCCCTATGCACGTGCATGGTGGCATTCTTGATTTTAACGGTTTTCAAGGTCGATAAATCACTGCAGACCATTAATTTTAACAATCATCTTGCATCACACAGTTGTTAGTGTTTGTTTCTAGCTGTGGGGTGTGTGTGTGTGTTTGGGTCATATACCAAGAGCGATTGGTGTACAAACAACTAGGGTCATAAGGAAGTGCGAATGGTGGTGCACTCTAAAAACATTCATTATTATCATATCAACATTGATTGACTCCAGAATATCTCCCAAATTTTTCAATTGTAAATTAATATGAAGTTCCCCTACTATTTTTTTAGAGCATATATATGAGAAACTGGATGTGCTAAAACCTGTTTTTGGACATTGTGTAAATGTTTTATTGGGTACTTATTTCTTTTTGAAGAAAGGAACCCTGCACATGATCAGACTGGCGAAGTACTGATTAATATATTTTTGTATATGACACCATATTTATAACACGAACACAAACATCTCGAGCTCCTGAACTGTGTTTTGTATCGACTTTACTGTTTATTTCAGATGAAGTCTGTTTCCTGCAATGTGACATGTAATTACACTGTAATCATCTGTTTATGTGATTCTTGTCTGCCAACTTGTTGATTCATTGACTTTTCTTCCTATTCATGCTGCGTTTGGTAACCAGTGTGTAACTGGCTGAGTATTTTCCTCTGTCTCCGCGATTCCCCCAAAAAGCCAATCGCCCACAAGATCCACCCAAACCACAGAGGCACATTTGATGCTGTTATCTTGTGGAAAGGAAAAGGTAGATATGTATTTGATGTGACTGCATGGCTGTCCTGACAAACTGCTTCCACCAGCAATGCAATTACCAGAGTTTTTTTCACAATCAGTATTTTTATAAAGCCATTATTTTGCAGTTTTGCTTCAACTGATCGATATCATTCCAAATGTCTTGGTGCTTAAATGTCAAGCTTTGTCATGCTATTTTGGACGCTTTTGAGTTTCCATCAAAATCTTTTGTTTCTTTGTTTTATTGCTGTGCATTCCAGTGAGGAAGGTTTGAATATCTGTTTTTCTCCTATGTGTGGTTAAAGGGGGTTCTTCTCCATCAGTGATATTTTCATGTACTTACGTTTTGTGGATTTCTTACATAGCTTCACTCTTGTTTTTACTTATTATTTGCAATCTGTGTGCCCAAACTCCACATCTTTTCAAGAAGATTTAGTGTTTGACCCAGGCTTCAAACTAGTGGACCAAGTTGCAGACTGTATGTGTATTTTTTCCATAATGAATTATTTTAATGCTCGATGTTGTCAGCACACTGTTGGTTTAACACTTGTTTAACCCCTACCTGATAGTCTCCTTTAGTGACATGTTCTGTTTCTAGCAGCTACAACATAATAGGTAGCACTATTTGGGGGGAATGGCCAACCACCAAACTCCCACGGAAAACACATTCACACTTTTTGTTTGCATGAAATTATTCAATTACAGTTCTATCTGAAAAGTCCACCATCAGTTCAGTATGCATTGCAGGTCTTCAGATAGATTGTATGTTTTTCTTTTCCAGAATTCTAGTACGTGCAGGAAATATGCTTCAAATTACAGCAATTTTTACTCATAATTCCTCAAAATATTTAGCGTTGACAAAGATGACAAAAGATTCAGTTAGAATGATGGCCATTCCATGATTCTGATGCACCATCAATGATAAAACCCAAAGTAAAACATTGATGATTAGGAACTTTCAGCTTGCCTCTTTATAGAAACAAATCTCACACTGGTTTTACATGGTGTTCAGCAAGTTAATAGTTAGAAATGGCCAGGAACTGACTACAGTCCTATGGCCCATCTGTAGTTTTATGTACTGCATGGAAACTCATAATAGTGAGAATGGTATATCCTAGAATGAACTCTGCAGAACTTGATTCCATTTTCCATGAAACAAGAAAGAAATTTATCAGGGCTCCTTTCACGATGCAACCTTTACTAAGGTTAACCTTAACTCCCATTTTTTAACATTGCACTAAGGTCACCTTGGTGACTTACAGTCACTTTTTTGTGCTTTGTGAAAGGAGGCCCTGATTTTAAAAAGGCACAAGATTATAGAACGACGACCATGCTGCTGTTAGCACTGATGGATGGATGTAGCTGACATATTACACTGCTAGTTGTTGTGTAGTCTGTCCACCACCCCCAGGCTCAATGTATTGTGTTGGCAAGTAAAATATTGATTTTTCTCCCTAACTCTGGAATAGTGCCTTTCAAGAAGAGCTGATGTGTGAATAACTCCCTCCCTGTTAATCATGTTGACATTGTGTGTGTCTTGTGTTAGATCCTGCTAATTCAAGACAGTAGTCGCTGGGTTTGTGATGTTGATTCTTAGCACTGTGTGTTTGATTCACTCACCATGCCATTCTCCACCATGTTTTTGTCTTTTTGATGTGACAATGTGTCTACTCATCACATTCATCTTGATGATATAATTGCAGGTAAAATACATTATTTATTCACATTTTTAGATGAATTACTAAAAATCATAACTTTTACATTAAATATTGAAACTATAATGTATGAACAGGGTAAGCTAACAGGAATGTGTACACATTTGTTGAGACAGTTGTTTATCTTATCATACAAGTTGTATAGGGTATGTGGTATTTAGGGTTAGAAATTGATTGATATTTTCACAAGCCGAAAAGCAGACTTGCTTCAGTTGCTGTTTACCTTGTGGTGAAAGTGGTAACCCACAAGGAAATGTCACAAGGCTTTCCTGAATATTACTGATCATTGACAAGCAGGCTTATGTTCAGTTTGGGGGCAATTTGAATCAGGGTATATTTACATTTTCTTCCAGTAATCTGCAAGCAGTGCCAGCATGTGTTCAGTTTTAGGTAGAACTTACGGTCTAAAATATTGCAGGCCAACTATCCTTTTCCACTTACCTTGATTAAGAGTTGATTCTATCTATGCTAGTAAACTTTAGCAACTTTCAAAAAAAATCAACATGAGTCAAATACTGTGCCAGTATCATCCTAGATTCCCACTAGTGTAAGAGTTTCCTTACAATATGTCATCTTACTAGTTTATGCGTGTCATTAGAACCTGTGTAAATTTGCTGTCTTCAGAAGGTGCTAAAGAAAGAAAGAGTGGTCTTGCCTATGAGGTGATCCTCAAGCCAGCTTCAGCAGAAACTACCCCCCTGAAGCCCCAGACCCCACCCAAGGACAAGAACCTCACACAAGATGACATCCTCAAGAAGCTGCAGAAGGCACAGGAACGCAGAGAGGTAGTACGACCTAGAGTGGCTAGTATCTTCTTTCTTAGTCATCTTTACAGCCTGTTTCATTCCTGCATTTGGCCCAACATTGCTTTTGCTTTAAAAGATTTAATTACAAGTACGTGTTTCGTACTGATTTTGTGGACTTATGACAGAATTAAGGTAGACTATGTTTTATAAAATATGTATGATGCACACATGAATTTAATAATCTCTTTTATCAAAACGTTTATCTGTAGCTTTTCCTTTCTTGAAAATTTCATATATTGTTTTGTGTGTGAGTGAGTTTAGCTTTACGCCGCACTCAGCAATATTCCAGCTATATGGCGGCGGTCTGTAAATAATCAAGTCTGGACCAGACAATCCAGTGATCAACAGCATGAGCATTGATCTGCGCAATTGGGAACCGATGACATGAGTCAACCAAGTCAGCGATCCTGACCACCCGATCCTGTTAGTCGCCTCTTACAAGCATGGGTTACTGAAGATCAGTATTCTAATCCGGAACTTCATGGGTAGTTTTGTGTGTAAAAATGTCAAGACACTTACATGATGCCCGTGATGTTAATCATGTCTACAAATATGTCTGTGTGCTTCATGTTGATTTTCATGAGCTGAAGGGCGGTGGGGTGACCGTGTGGTTAAAGCTTTGCTCGTCACACCGATGGCCCAGGTTCGATTCCCGACATGGGTAAAATGTGTGAAGCCCATTTCTGGTGTCCCCAGCCGTGATATTGGTGGAACATTACTAAAAGCGGCGTAAAACCCAACTCACTCATGAACTGAAAATATTTAACCTTTTGAATTTGGAACCAGTGTCATTCAGTAAAGATATCCCCTCACTGTTCAATCATCTTGCCTAACTCATCCTTATTGGTTTTCTTCCCTTACAGTCTCTTGAAGCTCAGCGTCTTGAGCAGATCTCCCGGGAGCGTGCCCGAGCCCAGGAGAAGATCGCCAAGGTGCAGGAGGAGAGTGAGAGCTTCTCCAAACAAACCAAGGAGAAACTGAGGCGATCTATGGAAATCAGCAAGGAGAACAGAGAGCTGCAGATCAAAGCCCTGCAGGAGAGACTGCGAGAACATGTAAGTCTATGACCCTGACATACCATCCACATCCACTAATACACAGCATACCCAAACAAGTAAAGGTATTGGTACTAGAGGCTAGGCATGTGTTGTCATACATTTTGAAAAACTTTAATGGTGAGTCTGTGATGATAACTTTAATGATGAGTCATGATGAGTCTGATGATAACTTTAATGATGAGTCTGTGGTGATAACTTGAATGATGAGTCTGTGATGATAACTTGAATGATGAGTCTGTGATGATAACTTTAATGATGAGTCTGTGATGATAACTTGAATGATGAGTCTGTGGTGATAACTTGAATGATGAGTCTGTGATGATAACTGTAATGATGAGTCTGTGATGATAACTGTAATGATGAGTCTGTGATGATAACTTTAATGATGAGTCTGTGATGATAACTTGAATGATGAGTCTGTGATGATAACTTGAATGATGAGTCTGTGATGATAACTTGAATGATGAGTCTGTGATGATAACTGTGTAAGTACAGGTTGTAGTCGAAGACTCAGTTCATAAGTTTTTGTTTTGTTTGCTTGTCCTAGTGTTATGGGTTAGCAGGAACTCAAAAGACAAAATTCATAATAACAGCAGAAAACGAAACTCAATAGCACACCGATGATAACACATGCCTTACAGTTTCATTTTTGACAGAAAAAAAACCCAGTATGTTTTTAAGGATTATGATTAACACAATATAGATTGAAGATAGAAATGGAAGAAGACAAAACTCAGAGTGGGCACAGTGTCGTCTCCATTCCTTCCTTCTTCCCTCCCCTTGCATGTGTCCTGTCCAGTAGCTGTTGTGTTTGGATACTACACCTTCTGTTGACACTTTCTGTAGTCCAGTTGTTATCCTTGTTTTTGTTGCTCTTGATTCACACAGCTGTCTAAGGTGGAAGAGACATGTAAACGCAGCGACTCCATGGCCAAGGAGCTCGAGGAACGTATTAATCAGAAAATGGAAATATATGAGGAAAACCGACAGGCCCAGTTGGACAGTCTTTTGAAACGACTTAAGGACCATGTGAGTTTAGGATCAATTTGCTTTTGTAGTTCTTGTTTGGTTTATTTTTCTTCACAAACTTCCCATACACTTGTTGTTTTGTGTACAAAGTGATTGTGGTGATGTGCATGTTTTAGATTTGTATTGTGTTTCACATACTTGACAGTGTGTAAAGCTGTTATTGATCAGCCAGGAGACATTTTAGCAGAATTATTTACACGCTGGCTACAGATGAATGTGCTGATGCTTAGATATATCGAGTTAAACCATTTTGCAGATCACATTCAGTTTCTTCTGCTTTTGTCTTTATCTGTTGCAGTCCTGATTGTGTAGTGAAGTAATGTTACTGCTCATCAAGGAAGAGGCATTCACAGTCTTTTGTAAATCACTGAATGGAGATTTAGTTGACATAATGTTTGACAAGATGTAGTTTTATAGCATGAGCTTCTCATCTTTGATGGTGAGGCTGGCAGTATGATGGTGAACAGTGTCAACCACATCACATACCAGCATGAAGGTTTCAGATTGACACTGTGATATCACTTTGACACTGTCAGTGCATTGAACAGTCTTGAATACCAAGTGTATCATATCTTTATTCTGTATCAATAAATACCCTGCACCCATTTGCCACCATTGCTCTTTCAAAAGAGACTTTCTGTGTCCAACACTCCTATTTCTAACTAAGCACAGACAGTGTTGTAACTCAGAGGTTTGGGATTAAAAGCTCATGTTTAGCTTTGTTTCTTTCCAATCACTCTCCTTGAAGCAGTGGCGGTGGACAGGTCCATTTATCATAGAAGACTGGAGATAACACACTGTATGAGGATGTGTGAGGAGAACTAATGAACAAGGTTTCTTCATATATTTGTATAAAGTAATGTAATGACTGGTTTGGTCTGTATACATGAATCAGTTTAGTGTTGTTGCCTGCTATGTATGACACCAGTATCTGTGCCATGTTTCAGGCCAGCCACATAAAGGAGGTATGTGAGGCCAGTGAGAACATGGGCAAGATGTCAGAGGAAAAGATCCTGGTGAAGATGGAGACTGCCTTGAAAAACCGAGAAGAGCAGCTGAAGGCTCTGCAGGAGAGACTCCAGGAACATGTATGTACCAACTGATCTCCCTTGTAAATACAGCTGGACACAAGGAACTTGTAGTTATACCCCAGATCCTCTATATACGGACACAATACACCTATAGTTAAACACGCTGCATTGATGGCACCTGTCTGCAGGCTCATCACTTTACATTCTGAGACACAAAAAACCGTACAGTCGTAATAAATTTACTTAGTTATTGATCTCAATTGAGTATGTGCCATGCCCATTCACCAATGATGACCATGGCCTTAATCTACCCTGCACTGGGAAAAAAGCCAGCCATTTGATTGGCTTATTTTCTGTATAGCAAAATAAGGTCACTGACTAGTTTCAGTGCAGGTTAGATCAGGGCTGAGGTCGTCAAAGGCAAACAGGCATGGCACATTTACCTTGACATCTAATAGACCATGGCTAAGATATAAAATAACTTAATGGTAACCATGGTAGCTCTGAATTACAAATTAGATGTCTCTTTTAAGTACAAAATCCATTCACTCACATACATGTGACCTATGATTTCATGTAGTACCTAAATTATTCTCAATTGTCAATAAACAGTTTTTACCTGTGTCATCTCTGATTTCAGGAACGGAGAATTGAGGAAGTGCGGAAGAACAAGAGTTCTCTGCAGTCCACAGGTGTGGATGCCTGAGCATGTACTTGGTGACCAGTGGTCAGTTTCTGCTATTGTCCTGAGGACAGCATCTCTGGTCACCTCTCCTGACCACCGTGGAAGACATACACACATTTAATGGAGTCTGAGTTGCTAATCTGTCAGCCACTGACAGCAGCATTTATTATAATATTGTTTATTTGATTACATGATTCCAGCTCTTCATTTATCTGTATAGTGCTGTTCGTAAGGCATAGAAGTTTATCAACTCAGTTGTTTTTGAGTTGGACATGTTTAATCTGATGATAATGCTGTAAAGTGATACCAGTTGGATGCCCTCTCCCTCCCTCGTTTTACACTGTCGCCATGGACACACAATTATTTCATTACAGGTGTATTGCTGACTTGAATCTCTGTCTGTATGAATCTCTTTCTCTGTCCGTATTACTCTACAACTACTTTTTGCTTGTTCTGGACTTATTGTCCATCTTGGTGTTAATGAAAGAAGTGCAAATTTGTCATGTATTTCATACTGCCATTTTTATTATCATCCACAAGCTATGCATTATTTTTTCGTCAACCTAGATGATAGAAGGATTTCATACGCATGAAAGATTGTGTGCAAGCATTTCATCAGTAATAATTATTGTAGCCCTCCATCTCTCCACCATTCATTCCGTTCATGTATCGTCAAGCCCAGGTTGTAGCTTTTATAGTCAAGTTTTTAGTACAAGGTCAATTTGCGTGCTTTAAGAGGACAATCAACAGTATTGTAGTTAGTGGCGACATGCGTCTATTGCAGATAATCTATCACTTGCCACCATTTCAGCATTGAAGGTTTCATTAGTTGTTCACTGAATATCCAGCTCCTCATCAACAGCTATTTCAAATGTGGATTATCTTGCCAAGACGTTTCTTTCCCGTGTGTATGTCGGAGTTAGAATATGCTGACAGTCCATCGTTGTGACATGTTTTCCAAATTGATTAACATTTCCTTGAAACTGACCTTTTTATGTAAGTCCATTTTAATGCAAGATTAATGCGATTCCTTTGAAACTTGGTGTTTTTAGTGTTTGGCAGTGATTAAGTAAATATTGTGTGAGTGTCGCTGCTCGAGACGCATGTAACCACAGTTTGTATCATACGAGGGGTAGACCGGCAGTAGTCTAGTCAGCAGGCAGTGTAGCCACTTTGTGTAGCACTGATAACGTCCTTGTACATCCAAACAAGACTAAGTCTTAACAGGGATGATGCCAGCACAAGTAGTCTGGTGAAAGATTGATGGTTTGGACCTGAGTGTTAAGAACCTAAAAAGCGGCAAGTTCTGGTTTTGTATGATAGACTGCTGTTCCATAGTGTACTATGAACCATGTGCTAAAGTGCAAGCTACGCTTGTTGCACTAACATGTATGTACGCCAGATTGTTGATTGTTACGCACAATGTTCAGAACTGTGTTATGCCAGTGGGACCAAGATGTGATTTTGTTTTTGTGCATCATAATTTGCAAAGGCCCCTTGCTTGTTTTTTCAGCATTTATGGAACTTAGTACATGTGAATAAAAATTTGGTTACTTGCCTTCTAATCAAACTGTTTGTTCTTATTGCTTATTGCTTATTGTATGTCTGAAAAGACACCTACATGGATAGTAGTTGTGAAAGACACTTAAATGTGAATCTATCAGTGTTTTTTCAAAGTTGGTTTGACCATTTAATACACCTGAAACACCCTTGGAACTTGATATCATAATGATCTATGTGGATCAGAGCATACATTACCTGGACAGATTACAGCATTTAACTGCAATATTAATATTACAGTTAACTGGTTGGATGTCCCACAGCAAATGATGTCCATCCAACAGTGAAATGGATACTGTTGGCAGATGATTTGCTTGGATATGGTAGCTGAATTCTGCAATCTTTTGGCTGCATGTATAAGACATGGGTGGTCTGAATGATCAAGTCTGGTGGAGACAGTCCAGTGGTTGACACTATGATCACACAATCAGAATAGGATGCAGTACAGTCAACCATGTCCATTCAGTTTCCTGTCTTCGGGTTGTCTTGAATCCAGAAAGCAACATGAACTTAATTTTTCATGCTGTGAATGGTTTTCAATGCTGTCGGCTTGACATCATTGTTTGGTAAATAAAGGCAACTGTGAATGTATGAATTTTGCCAAATATAGTTATAATAAAATTAGAACTTCATTATGAAACATTATCACAAACCAGTATTTTTTTTAACTGGCCCGCTGAACAACCGTCCACCCCTTCCAACTGAATTCCAAAGGTTTGGCAGGTTGCATCAGTCGCATCTCCGGAAATACGTCATTTCATCTGAATAATGGGATGAACAAAGGGGAACAACTCTCTTATATGTTTTTCGTCCGCAGACATGTTTCCTGGGAAATTGACATTTCATGCCTGCTCAAGACGTTAACACAGGCAATGTGAGGAACGTCTCGGGACAGATGATACCCTAGTCTGGCTGACAGTCCCTGAACCACATTATTTTCCCTACTGCCTAGCCCTCTCTGCTAAAGACCTAAATGAAGCAAGTCTAGATTTCCTCAGGTTCTGAATCTCTGGTCTCCCTGGGGCTCCTTTTCAATTATAAATGGGTTGTTTGTTACTATCAAAATTATATATATTCAGAGACTAAGCGCTAGTCTAATGATACCCCATTTCCACAAATGGAAGTGGCTGTTCTTGAGGCTGGCTTGATCCTGCGGGCTCATTCCTTAAAGGTCACATGCAACCAAAAAATCAAACATAATTAAAACACAATTATCACTTATTCATGACATATAATATACATTGCTGGTTATGAAAAAAACATATAAACAAAATTATAAGCCTACAATCGCAAATCAAAAGTGCAATATTGTGTACTTGGGTTTACTTCCCAAGAAACGAAGCACCCGGGATACCGAACCCAGTCAGAGCGGGTGGGTGTGCACTCAAGTGTAACGGCTGGTTCATTTGCAGGGCTTAGTCTCTATTCGCCCACATCCCTAATTGCCCACATCCCAATTGGCCCACAAAAACATCAGAGGTTAATTAGGGTCAGACAATGCACCCCTACTCTCATAATGGGGTGTCCTGACAGGGGGGATTAGTCTAAAATCACATACATCTCTGAGTTACTTGACAAAGTGCTCTTGTTTCAGTGTTGTGGTAGTTATACAGGATGGAGAAGGAAACTTAGAGAAGATTTAAAGTATATTTCAATTTTGTCTAAATAAAGTAGAGAGTATTATTAATTAATGTATCTACTAATCGGAAATAACTTCTCTCGAAGCTGCTGCTATTGGAGCCACTGAGAGAGTCTTCCCCGATGCAGAAGTCCGTGGATGCTACTTCCACTTCACCCAGGCGGTATGGCGGCAGGTTTCAGAGAAAGGCCTTGTGAAAACCTACAAGGACAACCGTGCCTTCAACACCCACGTGCGACGTGCTGCAGCACTCCCCCTCCTCCCAGTGGATCAGATCCAAGATGCCTGGATGGAAGTATTGAACCAGTCTCCCGACGTTGACGGAATCGGCCAGTTCAACGACTACATCACATCTACATGGGTTGACTACGACGCAAGATTCCCACCTCGCATTTGGAATCAACATGGAAACACTGGGCCAAGAACAAACAATCACTTGGAGGGATTCCACCTTGGATTTAAGAAGCTGGTTCAGAAGCACCACCCGAACATTTACGAGTTTGTGATCACAATGAAGAAGCTCGAGACAACAAACAGAGTGGCCAGAAGACAGATTGAGCATGGAGCAGCTGTCCGCCCAAGATCCAGACTCTACAAGAACCTGGACAGCCGCCTGCACAGACTGCAGCAGCAACTGGAAACTGGCAGAAGATCACCGCTACAGTTTCTGGACGCGGCTGGACACCTGATCAAGTTGAACTGAACATTATGAAACTTTGTTACAGAAATAAAAACAAAATGTAAATTACTTTTGTCTCAATCGCCCACATTTCCCATTCTTCAGTCAATTGATCATTATGCCCTAACATCTTTGTTTTAAAAGATGGGATGTGGGCGAGAGTCCATTCTTCAGTCATAGGTATGACACAAGTGTGATCATTATTTTTGTAATAACCAATCAACAACCAATATGTTGTTTTAAAACCTGTGTCTGGCGAGACTGGGATAAGTCAATGCATTTTGTTTATGATAGCCTGATTGGTGTTAAGTTCAAATTGCATGTGGTCAGTGATCGCAGTTGTGTAGTGTCAATAAAACAAGACATTGAGTTTTGTCTGTGACAACGACATATTTATATCACAGTTAGAAATTCTGTCAACGCTAAATAATGACATTGCTTTTAAGTATCGAACTGAGAAAGTGACTCGGTAAGGAGAACGTGTGGTGAAATAGGGGATGGCCTAAAAGTCGGGCCGGGCCGGGCCAATGCGGGCCAAATCTATTATTGGCTAATAAACCCATTAACGAAAACCATGCCTACAATTAATCAATCAGCAACGTTTTTGCTTCAAATACTATGCTTTGAGACTCTGTGAAGTGATATGTAGGTAGATATAATACAAATCTATGGATATAAACACATTTCAAGATACATGTGTGAGGTTTAGGTTGTTTCTGACAGCCTGGACCAAGTCGGGCCGAACAGCGACTAAACACTTTTGATTGAGGCTATGTTGTGAATGGGGAGAGAAAAGGGCTTCACTTTAACGGAGCAGTTATCTTTACATGTGGCATTTTGTAACATCACACAGTGATATTTAAGTAGATATAATTCTAATCTATGGATTTAAACACAAATCAGGATATATGTGAGGGGTTTAAGGTGTTTTTGAGAGCCCGGGCCAACCGGACTGAACGCTTGTGATACAGTGTCTTTGTTGAGAATATGTAGAAAAGAGAGCTTCACTTTCAGCAACGTTTTTGCTTCAAATACTACGCTTTGAGACTCTGTGAAGTGATATGTAGGTAGATATAATACTAAGCTATGGATATAAACACATCTCAAGATACCTGTGTGAGGTTTAGGTTGTTTTTGACAGCACGGGCCAAGTCGGGCTGAACAGAGACTAAACACTTTTGATTGAGGCTATGTTGTGAATGAGGAGAGAAAAGGGCTTCACTTTAACGAACCAGTTATCTTTACATGTGGCATTTTGTAACATCACACAGTGATATTTAGGTAGATATAATACTAATCTATGGATTTAAACACAAATCAGGATACATGTTTGGGGTTTAAGGTGTTTTTGAGAGTCCGGGCCAACCGGACCTAAAGCTTGTGATACAGTGTCTTTGTTGAGAATATGTAGAAAAGAGAGCTTCCCTCTTGAGCAACGTTTTTGCTTCAAATACTTCGCTTTGAGACTCTGTGAAGTGATATGTAGGTAGATATATTACTAATCTATGTTAAAATTCAAATCAGGATACATGTGTGAGGTTTCAGTTGTTTTTGAGAGCCCGGGCCAAGTCGGGCCGAACAGACTACACCCTTTTGATCGAGGCTATGTTGTGAATGGAGAGAGGAAAGGGCTTCACTTTAACGAACCAGTTATCTTTACATGTGGCATTTTGTAACATCACACGGTGATATTCAGGTAGATATAATACTAATCTAGGGAATTAAACACAAATCAGGACATATGTGAGGGGTTTAAGGTGCGCTTGAGAGCCCGGGCCAAGCCGAACCGAAAGCATGACTGTGATACTGTGTGGTTGTTGAGAATGTATAGAAAATAGGGCTTCACTTTAAGCAACGTGTTTGCCTCAAATACAACGCTTTGAGACTTTATAAAGACGTATTTATGTAGATATAACTCTATTCTATAGATATAGACACAAATCAGGATACATGTGTGAGGTTTAGGTTGTTTTTGACAGCACGGGCCAAGTCGGGCTGAACAGAGACTAAACACTTTTGATTGAGGCTATGTTGTGAATGGGGAGAGAAAAGGGCTTCACTTTAACGGAGCAGTTATCTTTACATGTGGCATTTTGTAACATCACACAGTGATATTTAGGTAGATATAATACTAATCTATGGATTTAAACACAAATCAGGATACATGTTTGGGGTTTAAGGTGTTTTTGAGAGTCCGGGCCAACCGGACCTAACGCTTGTGATACAGTGTCTTTGTTGAGAATATGTAGAAAAGAGAGCTTCCCTCTTGAGCAACGTTTTTGCTTCAAATACTTCGCTTTGAGACTCTGTGAAGTGATATGTAGGTAGATATATTACTAATCTATGGATATGAACACATTTAAAGATACACGTGTGAGGTTTAGGTTGTTTTTGGCAGCACGGGCCAAGACGGGCCGAACAGAGACTAAACACTTTTGATTGCGGATTTCATTTTCCGAGGACTTTTTTCTCCTAAATCGTTGGGAATGGAGAGAGAAAGGGGTTTCAGTTTACTTTACTTTATGAAGTGGTATTTAGGTAAATATAATACCATTTTGTATTTCATGTGTATTAGTAAATATAAGCATATGCATACGCGCTGGCTATTTGATTTGGGCTGGTATTGTTTACAATGAAAACACATAAGAATTTTGGTGTTTGTGAATGCATACTTTGTTTGATCCTTCATAACATATTACAAAATGTTGTGATTTCAAATATTTCTTTTAATATACATAATCATGTCATATTTGCCCATTGACACTCGTCGATATCCACGTCTCTTTAACGTAAACATCCTGTGCTGATTCAGCATGAGACAATAAAGGTTAATTAGGGAACCCCAATATCTTAATTAAGGAAAGAAAATCAGTCAAAACACTGTTACTTCCTGCCCAGGACCCCCCGGATGTCACACGCTAAGAGAAGTAAGCAACCTTCCCTCATAGACATATCAAGGAAAACACATAACAACAAGACGGTGTTTTTTCTACGGGAATCTCGGTATGTAGTCATTGTTGTTGTGTGTTTTTTTTCACCATTAACTATACATTTTCAATCAAACTCTGCATTTGTGAAGGCAGGAAGTGTATCGGCCCAAATGTGCAGGTTCCGTTTTAATATTCTGCAATCCATTTTTAGTATTACCCGCTGGCCCGGCCCGACTTTTAGGCCATCCCGTGAAATACACAGGGGCTTGTATTGCTGAAAATAATACGTCCTGGGTCCTACAAGCGTACACTGATATCCATAGTCATATAAAGAAGGAAAGGGATGTAACGCACACAAACTTGTCAAACACCCCCCTCTCGTAGATGGGCGAAATCTGGGTGGGAAATTGTGAAATACACAGCCGGGATTCTTACTGAAATAAAGCCAGATGAATTCCCTTTCGATTAAATCCAACATTATCAAAATCGGTGCACTATTGACGGAGTAACTTTGCTTGGAACTCGGGAAAAGACAACTTTTTCATTTGTACGCCAAAAACCTGCCTACGAAAATCATCGCCTCTCGGCGAAGAAATACTAAGTATTTCAATGGAAAACACCCAATCGGCGAAAAGGCATAACCTTTTCGTAATCGCTAGATATTCCGCTTTCGCATTACAACATCTCAAATGAAATGAGTTACTGATTTTACCTGCCATACACGACTTTATTGGAAAATTAGCGGTATCGAGTGATCGAGGCCACCATGTTTGTCCTTCACCTTCAATAGACTCGCACCAACGACGAGCTACTCTCTGATTGGTTAAAAATAAAATACCAGTATTATTTTTATTTCGTGGCGCGATATTTAGGAAATAAAGTTCGTCCTCGTGCTTTAATTTCAATAGTTAAGGGCAAAACTATACTTTATTACAAAACACATTGGGGTGAGCGAACTTTATTTCCTAAATAGAGTAGCTCGTCGTTGGTGCGAGTCTATTGAAGGTGAAGGACAAACATGGTGGCCTCGATCACTCGATACCGCTAATTTTCCAATAAAGTCGTGTATGGCAGGTAAAATCAGTAACTCATTTCATTTGAGATGTTGTAATGCGAAAGCGGAATATCGATTACGAAAAGGTTATGCCTTTTCGCCGATTGCGTTTTCCATTGAAATACTTAGTATTTCTTCGCCGAGAGGCGATGATTTTCGTAGGCAGGTTTTTGGCGTACAAATGAAAAAGTTGTCTTTTCCCGAGTTCCAAGCAAAGTTACTCCGTCAATAGTGCACCGATTTTGATAATGTTGGATTTAATCGAAAGGGAATTCATCTGGCTTTATTTCAGTAAGAATCCCGGCTGTGTATTTCACAATTTCCCACCCAGATTTCGCCCATCTACGAGAGGGGGGTGTTTGACAAGTTTGTGTGCGTTACATCCCTTTCCTTCTTTATATGACTATGGATATCAGTGTACGCTTGTAGGACCCAGGACGTATTATTTTCAGCAATACAAGCCCCTGTGGTGAAATAGACAAATGAAATTATATAAACAGATAATTTACTGTCATAACATATAAAAAGCTCGCGCCTGTGAGATATCAACAAAACATTAGAAAAATAGCTCACACCAAAGCCTTCACCGAGTATTCACCGGACAACCCGCTTCCAAGTTGCGCGAACCTATTTCACTGCGCACTTGCTATGAACGCAGCCAAACGCTGGGGGGAAATTAGTGAATCGTTTGAACTACGATTTCGCGCGTTTTTTTTCATCGAGTTATTTTTCAACTTTATAAGTTGAATTAGCATTTTTGATGATTTGTTTCGGTAAGTCCATACCGAAAGGTATCATAATCTGCAAAGTTGTGTTTTACGTTGCATGTGACCTTTAAATGAGTGGAGAAATATACTGCATAGTGAAGTGTACAGAAAGAGAACACATTTATGCAGTTACTACAGGATTTTGACTTTAATGCGTATTTTAGCCGATATCACGTTTTCTTGATGAGCCTGTCACAAGGAGTCACTGGAATACAGCTTGGTGATGTATTTTATGCATAGAGAGGAAAACTCGATCAAGTCCCCTGTGATCGGGGGAAAGTCAGTTGTACACGACAAAAAGCACTCAGTAAGTTCAGTTGGGTTTCATGTTGTGAAGTATTTTGGGGCGGGATCGTGACACGTGGTTGCCCTGGGCGTGGTCGATGACGTTGTGCTCGTAGGCTCTGTCATAACCTGACGATTTTTGAATTGTGACCGTTAACCTTCAGGCCACCTGACCTGTGGAGACGCCAGTATCAATACACCAAGCAACTCTTTTTCTCCCAACTGCTGATATACGTGGCATTGTGTAAAGTCAACAATTCAGTGCTGTTCAAACGTTAGGTGCGGATTTGGGACACAGTTGAATGATATGTCAATGTGTTGTGGAATCGTCACGTTTTCTTCATTTTCGCGCGATTTGCAGATGAAAATGTGTTTTCCAGCAAATGGTGTGTCACGGTGTGCACCACGATTACTTCAATCACAGTTTGGGTTCACAATTCGTTTTGCATATTCCATGATAAATGATAATTTGGTTATGCGTTTCTAATTGATTTCAGTACATTACAGGGGCGGATACAGCTTTTTGAGAAAGGGTGGGTGCACACTATTGAGAAAAGGAGGGGTGCACACATCATTTTTACCCGAGTGTCAATGGTCATTTAAGAAACTTTCAGCACAAAAGGAGGGGTGCGCACCCCTGCTCCCCACCTCTGGATCCGCCTATGCATTACATCTGGTGGACACACAATTTTCGATGACTTGGTTGACTGCGTTACGTCTGATTCCCGTTGTGTTGATCGATGCTTATGATATGGAACACTCGATTATTTACAGACCGCCTTCATACAGATCGAACTGGCGTTATCCAGGTGTGAACTGGTGAACAGATTATCCTGAGTCTCCGCGTCTACAAACTACAACTGGAAGAGGCATGCATCTTGTATGGACATGTGATGTTACTGTATTGTCAATACAACTATATTTGTATTGTACAGTACAAAATGTGGGTGAACATTGCCTGGTTTTATGTTCCCCATGTTTCTCACATGTTTCTCACATGTCAGCCTCACTTCCTACATGCAGAGAAGAGATTCTGGACACCAGACTCTCGTCCTTCAGCACGCCCATGTAAATCAGATAAGACTGAATGTCATCATTGATTCCGGCCCATTAAGGGAGTTTTCGGATCATTCTGTTGGACAAACGATGTGGAAGCCACTCTGTTTTTAAAAAGTCACTTGAAATGAACGGATTTAGTGTTATGATTCTCATAACCCGCAATGACAGCATTCCACATATATACCTAACTTGCCATCTTTGAACAGTTGCTAACTGAGGCGGCCTCATATCAACAACGAAATCAATTGATTTTGCAAGTTATCGAGCTGCAAAAACAGTTTACTGAAAATATATATTTGCCCCATACATATAGGTACATGTATTGCACGCCTTTGAACGAATCATGTGCTAATCTAAAATCAATGTCTATTTGCGTCCGAAGGGTCAAAATAACCATAAAACTAACCAAGCAGGTGCTATATGAATATAAATGGCTATATCAGTGTTAAAAACCATAGGTGTTCCGACAGTGTATGAAATAAGGCACGGGGGCTTGTATTGCTGAAAACAATACGTCCTGGATCGTACATTCGTTCACTGATAATCATATACATATAAAGAAGTATATATGTATATGGATATCAGTGAACGAATGTTTTTCGTTCGACACATTTTTCATGTGTTTTTTAAACAGTGTCTATTCCAATCACTTTTCGAGGGTGTGGTGCATTTAAACACTGTGTCAGATCAACGCCAAATGTAAGCATTTCCGTGAGTTAATCATTTTATTACCATTTGACACTTCATATAAAATTATACAAATCGCAAAACATAACAGAAATAATCTGCAATAAACAACCGTGACTCAACTGTCGCAAAAGGTGCAGTTCAGTTGTATTTCTGGACAGGAAACACTGTGTGACTACATCATAGGTCCGTACATCAGCGCCTGTCCAGCCCCGCACACAACGTCAATGGGGTTCAGTAGAGAGCCGACGGATATACCTTAGTCGTTAATCGTTATATTTTACGGACGGGACGATAAAATGACATATTTACAATAATGAAAGAAATATCCCATCAGTGTTATAGTTTGATTTCACTTTCTTTGTGCTGCAGGAACAGAAACAAATGATAGGGCCTCATCCCTATTTCAAGCTTTGAACAAATTCATTACTTCATTAACATCATTCTCATTTCAGCAGTATACGAAATTATACAATTATACCAAGATAGTGCTGTGTTGACCACACGTGGTGGGGGAGATAGTGGACTAAATTGTGACCACTCGAGAGAATGCTGTGGTACACACGGGAACGCTGGACTATACACGAGAATGCAGGGCGATTCAAGGCATGGTGGGCGACACAGGAGCATGTCGAGTATTTGATGACATGCGTACATGGTTGTTTACTTTGTCACGAGTCCTCTTGTTCATTCGGTGATAATCAAGTAGAAAAACTCAGTCGGCAGGCAGCCATGACCAACTCACTCGCTCACCAACTCACATGATTAAAGTGCTCTCCTGATTACATGATATAACTATGACATATTCATTATGATTATGATCGCAACATACGAGAAGCAAAGCACCTGTTGGGTTTTCAACAATAGTTCCAATGGTCCTTAGTTCGGATTAACACATATTTATGCTGAAATCAACACTATGTTAATATTATCTGTTTCTGTGAAGCCAAAAATCGCCTATAGCTCACAGATTGTATTGGAGCCTTGATATATCCTTTTACTAAACTTTATCCTGTATTTGTACCAGACAGTATGTGACCAAGTTCACATTCGACAGATGCGCCGTGAGGCTGTTGATCTGAAAGCGGGCCCATCTGCCGCCACTGAATTACTGTTGATGTCATCAGCGGTTGGTACCTTGAGAATGGTAATGGTAAACATTGTACCACCTTTTGCGGTGGAGCCGATTTCGCAGTTGGACCAGAAGTGAAATTTCGTCTTTTATACGTCTGCCTGTCGCGGTTCGGTGATTGTTCTGAAATGGTATTAGTAGGTTTGAGGGTTATCTACATATACTATCAAAGTCCATGAAGATTGCATAGCGGATTTTAAATAAACTGGCAGGAATGAACATGCAGTATGTTTCTACGGCCGGATGAAGACAGCGAGCAGGACAAGCAAGATGCTGGTGATGAGGGAACTTTTCACAAATGACGCCGAATCTGAAAAAGGACCATTAAAACATTTACTCTGAATATTAATTCAACGATACAACAAGAAAGTAGAACTGAAGTGTAAAAGGTCACGCTGTATCAACTGACGTCATGTATTACATTATGTCATATAATCAGTACGTGTGATTCAAGTCTGTTTATGATGTGTGAAGAATGAATGAATGAATGAATTGTTTATTAACGTGTCACGCATAAAATTACAAGGTATACACACAATAAATATACAAAGATAAAATAGATTATGCAGGGCCTCAATAGGCCGAAGAGACACGGTATAAAACTGTAAAATATAACTTATTTCAAGAAGATAAAATAACCGTACAGTACAATGTATATATAAGGTACATAAAATTGTAAAAATATTTAATAAAATAATGACTAGATAGAATTAGTTGAAATATTGACTTGTAGAAAGTCAAACGACACAACACGTACGTACACATACGCAGGTACACATGCACATGCAACCACACACAAGGTAAACGGTTGAAGTTGGTATATATTTGGTGTATATATAAGGATCTGCTTACCACACTTGGGGTATTTGCCCTCGGCAGTGTCGATGTCATTCTGGACCCACTCTTTCTGGTCTGAAGTACATGATCCCTTGACGTTCACCAGACAGTCTATCTTTTGTCGGAGGAACCTGCGGATACAGAGGATAATGTAACAGTTTGATACGGGCAGTCAGATCTCTTCTACATGTATTTACACAGGAAGACTGACGTGTATCACCACAACACTGGCAGTCAACCTTCCCGTATATGTATTTACACAGGGAGGCTGACGTGTATCACCACAACACTGGCAGTCAACCTTCATCTATATGTATTTACATAGGGAGACTGACGTGTATCACCACAACACTGGCAGTCAACCTTCCCCTATATGTATTTACACAGGGAGACTGACGTGTATCACCACAACACAGGCAGTCAACCTTCCCCTATATGTATTTACACAGGAAGACTGACGTGTATCACCACAACACTGGCAGTCAACCTTCCCCTATATGTATTTACACAGGGAGACTGACGTGTATCACCACAACACTGGCAGTCAACCTTCACCTATATGTATTTACACAGGAGACTGACGTGTATCACCACAACACTGGCAGTCAACACAGGAGACACGTGTATCAACACTGGCAGTCAACCTTCCCCTATATGTATTTACACAGGGAGACTGACGTGTATCACCACAACACTGGCAGTCAACCTTCCCCTATGTATTTACACAGGCAGTCAACCTTCCCCTAGACTGACGTGTATCACCACAACACTGGCAGTCAACCTTCCCCTATATGTATTTACACAGGGAGACTGACGTGTATCACCACAACACTGGCAGTCAACCTTCCCTATATGTATTTACACAGGAGACTGACGTATCACCACAACACTGGCAGTCAACCTTCCCGTATATGTATTTACACAGGAGACTGACGTGTATCACCACCACTGGCAGTCAACACTGGCAGTCAACCTTCCCTTCCCTATATGTATTTACACAGGGAGACTGACGTGTATCACCACAACACTGGCAGTCAACCTTCCCCTATATGTATTTACACAGGAGACTGACGTGTATCACCACAACACTGGCAGTCAACCTTCCCTATATGTATTTACACAGGAGACTGACGTGTATCACCACAACACTGGCAGTCAACCTTCCCCTATATGTATTTACACAGGGAGACTGACGTGTATCACCACAACACTGGCAGTCAACCTTCCCCTATATGTATTTACACAGGAGACTGACGTGTATCACCACAACACTGGCAGTCAACCTTCCCCTATATGTATTTACACAGGGAGACTGACGTGTATCACCACAACACTGGCAGTCAACCTTCCCCTATATGTATTTACACAGGAGACTGACGTGTATCACCACAACACTGGCAGTCAACCTTCCCCTATATGTATTTACACAGGGAGACTGACGTGTATCACCACAACACTGGCAGTCAACCTTCCCTATATGTATTTACACAGGAGACTGACGTGGCAGTCATCACCTGACAACACTGGCAGTCAACCTTCCCCTATATGTATTTACACAGGGCAGACTGACGTGTATCACCACAACACTGGCAGTCAACCTTCCCCTATATGTATTTACACAGGGAGACTGACGTGTATCACCACAACACTGGCAGTCAACCTTCCCCTATATGTATTTACACAGGGAGACTGACGTGTATCACCACAACACTGGCAGTCAACCTTCCCCTATATGTATTTACACAGGGAGACTGACGTGTATCACCACAACACTGGCAGTCAACCTTCCCCTATATGTATTTACACAGGGAGACTGACGTGTATCACCACAACACTGGCAGTCAACCTTCCCCTATATGTATTTACACAGGAGACTGACGTGTATCACCACAACACTGGCAGTCAACCTTCCCCTATATGTATTTACACAGGAGACTGACGTGTATCACCACAACACTGGCAGTCAACCTTCCCCTATATTTACACAGTATTTACACAGGATTTAGACTGACGTGTATCACCACAACACTGGCAGTCAACCTTCCCTATATGTATTTACACAGGGAGACTGACGTGTATCACCACAACACTGGCAGTCAACCTTCCCTATATGTATTTACACAGGAGACTGACGTGTATCACCACAACACTGGCAGTCAACCTTCCCTATATGTATTTACACAGGAGACTGACGTGTATCACCACAACACTGGCAGTCAACCTTCCCCTATGTATTTACACAGGAGACTGACGTGTATCACCACAACACTGGCAGTCAACCTTCCCCTATATGTATTTACACACAACACAGGCAGGAGACTGACGTGTATCACCACAACACTGGCAGTCAACCTTCCCTATATGTATTTACACAGGGAGACTGACGTGTATCACCACAACACTGGCAGTCAACCTTCCCTATATATGTATTTACACAGGAGACTGACGTGTATCACCACAACACTGGCAGTCAACCTTCCCTATATGTATTTACACAGGAGACTGACGTATCACCACAACACTGGCAGTCAACCTTCCCTATATGTATTTACACAGGAGACTGACGTGTATCACCACAACACTGGCAGTCAACCTTCCCCTATATGTATTTACACAGGAGACTGACGTGTATCACCACAACACTGGCAGTCAACCTTCCCTATATGTATTTACACAGGAGACTGACGTGTATCACCACAACACTGGCAGTCAACCTTCCCCTATATGTATTTACACAGGGAGACTGACGTGTATCACCACAACACTGGCAGTCAACCTTCACCACAACACTATCAACCTTCCTATATTTTACACAGGAGACTGACGTGTATCACCACACAACACAACCTGGCAGTCAACCTTCCCTATATGTATTTACACAGGAGACTGACGTGTATCACCACAACACTGGCAGTCAACCTTCCCCTATATGTATTTACACAGGAGACTGACGTGTATCACCACAACACTGGCAGTCAACCTTCCCCTATATGTATTTACACAGGAGACTGACGTGTATCACCACAACACTGGCAGTCAACCTTCCCCTATATGTATTTACACAGGAGACTGACGTGTATCACCACAACACTGGCAGTCAACCTTCCCCTATATGTATTTACACAGGAGACTGACGTGTATCACCACAACACTGGCAGTCAACCTTCCCCTATATGTATTTACACAGGGAGACTGACGTGTATCACCACAACACTGGCAGTCAACCTTCCCCTATATGTATTTACACAGGAGACTGACGTGTATCACCACAACACTGGCAGTCAACCTTCCCCTATATGTATTTACACAGGGAGACTGACGTGTATCACCACAACACAGGCAGTCAACCTTCCCTATATGCAGTCAACCTTCCCACAACATATGTATTTGGCAGTCAACCTTCCCCTATATGTATTTACACAGACTGACGTGTATCACCACAACACTGGCAGTCAACCTTCCCCTATATGTATTTACACAGGAGACTGACGTGTATCACCACAACACTGGCAGTCAACCTTCCCCTATATGTATTTACACAGGGAGACTGACGTGTATCACCACAACACTGGCAGTCAACCTTCCCCTATATGTATTTACACAGGAGACTGACGTGTATCACCACAACACTGGCAGTCAACCTTCCCCTATATGTATTTACACAGGAGACTGACGTGTATCACCACAACACTGGCAGTCAACCTTCCCCTATATGTATTTACACAGGGAGACTGACGTGTATCACCACAACACTGGCAGTCAACCTTCCCCTATATGTATTTACACAGGGAGACTGACGTGTATCACCACAACACTGGCAGTCAACCTTCCCTATATGTGTATCACCATTTATATGTATTTACAGGGAGACTGACGTGTATCACCACAACACTGGCAGTCAACCTTCCCTATATGTATTTACACAGGAGACTGACGTGTATCACCACAACACTGGCAGTCAACCTTCCCCTATATGTATTTACACAGGAGACTGACGTGTATCACCACAACACTGGCAGTCAACCTTCCCCTATATGTATTTACACAGGAGACTGACGTGTATCACCACAACACTGGCAGTCAACCTTCCCCTATATGTATTTACACAGGGAGACTGACGTGTATCACCACAACACTGGCAGTCAACCTTCCCCTATATGTATTTACACAGGGAGACTGACGTGTATCACCACAACACTGGCAGTCAACCTTCCCTATATGTATTTACACAGGTGTATCACCACAACACTGGCAGTCAACCTTCCCTAGACTGACGTGTATCACCACAACACTGGCAGTCAACCTTCCCTATATGTATTTACACAGGAGACTGACGTGTATCACCACAACACTGGCAGTCAACCTTCCCCTATATGTATTTACACAGGAGACTGACGTGTATCACCACAACACTGGCAGTCAACCTTCCCTATATATGTATTTACACAGGAGACTGACGTGTATCACCACAACACTGGCAGTCAACCTTCCCCTATATGTATTTACACAGGAGACTGACGTGTATCACCACAACACTGTGTCAACCTTCACCCACAACACTGGCATATGTATTTACACAGGAAGACTGACGTGTATCACCACAACATTGGCAGTCAACCTTCCCCTATATGTATTTACACAGGGAGACTGACGTGTATCACCACAACACTGGCAGTCAACCTTCCCCTATATGTATTTACACAGGGAGACTGACGTGGATCACCACAACACAGGCAGTCAACCTTCCCGTATATGTATTTACACAGGAAGACTGACGTGTATCACCACAACACAGGCAGTCAACCTTGTCCCGTATGAACAAATGGACACTCAACCATCGCCCCATGTGTATCTTCACAGACATGTAACATGTCGTGTATGCTTTATCGCAACAATATTAACACAGTGGCGTTCATCAATAACTCTGACACACTCTCACACTCATTCCAGCACACTGACATAGGCTGAGGTGCATTGATACCCCGACACGTAGGTCCTACCAGCAGAACATTCCCTCGTCAATTCCTTTTCGTGAAACTTCTCTGGAGAACACATCATTACAATCCTTTGCCTTGATACACTGCGACACCCCGCGGACCGTGGTCAAGGTGGCCACTGAAATATACACATCATATGACTGTAGGTAACTGGCCGCTGCCATAGTCGGACAGACTTTAAAAATAGGGCTGTTTGGGGGTCGTTGTTTTTGTAAAATCAGTACTGAGGTTTCTGCATGCTCACAAGCCAAACGTCCATACTCTGTGTGAGTGAATGAGATTTTACAACTATTTGACGAAGCCAGTTTAACTGGCGAAGTGGATGTCAACCCCTTTAATGAGACCCACGAGCACCAGTATGGTTCTGACAGATCGGTCAACTCCCATCTGTGAGAACTCCCATTTGTGATCGCCAGAAAGGCATACTTAGATTCGGGCTATTATAATGCTGTGGCGGCGCAAAGCAGTATGTATAGTTCCGCTTGCCCATGGTGGGATGCTTGTCGATAGAGGCGACGAACGGGATCGGGTGGTCGGGCTCGCTGACTTGGTTTACACATGTCATCGTATCCTAATCGCGTACATCGATGCTCATGATGTTGGTCACTGGATTGTCCGGTCCAGACTTGATTATTTACAGACCGACGCCATATAGCTGGAATATTGCTGAGTATGGCGTTAAACACCAACCATCCATAATGGAACTACCGGTTCTACACAGTCCGCTACTACGGGAATCGAACTAAATGTACATACTGAGAGACAGGCATGCCCCTGCTTAACCTGTGGTCCTGTTTGCTCTGGATCATCAAGCTGGTTGCACATCAACGTGACCTCAAGAATAAGTAGCATTCTGCAGCATGTGTAGCCTCGAAATAGGCGTGTAGCATAGTTTGGAATGTGCCAGTATTGACCAGTTTGGACCTCGGCCAGCAGATCGGCGGGCGCTGTTCACGTGGTCGAATGACACGTATCTCACTGATGTTATTTGAACAGCACTGGGCTTGTAGAAAGTTACTAAACTTTAACAATCTGTGTCGCCAGTGACGGACATTGTTTCAAGTGTATCGATACAGACCATGGCCCGGCCTCCGTGGCGAGTATTCCGTAACTCCACACTTGTGCGTGTTTTTAACAAGTATGGATTTTTCTGTAACAACGGCAGTCTCTGTTGTATGTTAAATGACAGACGGCGCCTTTCATCTCGAATGCAAAAAGGAAGGAATTGTAGTGTCATTGGGCAATATATAAGCATTATGACATATGTCTGTATACAATCGCGTTTTGGAAAGACAATCCAGTGATTGGCATCACGAGCTGTACAGTTGGGATACGAGGACAATCGCCCCAGTCAACGAGCCTGACCACCCGATCCAAGAACACACCTGTAATAACAAGCACTGCATGGTTGGTGTACCCCTGGATTCTTACCCAGAAAACACACACGATAGCTTCACATTGTCACACAAATATGTCACCGCACCCATACAACTGTTACACGGTATAATAATGAAGTATGCAATATTAGTATTATAAGGCCATTCCTCTATATAACGTTACTGACACACACAAACTAACACAGGCGTCCTCCAAATATCGCATACCTGAACACTGTTATCATGCTTATAGGGACCCTTCATAATTTATGGCTAGGGGGGGTGATGATGATTTTTTTTATTTTTGATTTATTTTTATTTTATTTTTTGGGGGGGTACCCATTTTGTTCTGGTGAGGTAGGGGGTCATCAATTTGTACACATGTACTAGGGGGGGGCATCAATTTTGTACACAACATTATTAAATAATTATGCTTAAAAAATTGGGAAGGGGAGTGGGGGTCATTAATTTGTACATGACATGCAGGGGGGGCACTTACTTTGTACATAAATTTTAGGGGGGGTCACTCACATTGTACATGCTTCTCCATAAAAATCATCATCACACCACACACACACACACACACCCTAGCCATAAATTATGAACGGTCCCTTAGACTGTACACTATACATTCCATACATATATATTACTAACATCGTATAAATTAGTGTGTGTGGTAGTTTCGTTTTATACTGCCTGTATACCTCAGTATTACGAGTGCATCCACTTGGACCTATATAGGCGTTCATATGAATGGCGCCATTATTTATTAGCTCTCCACTCTGGCGCAGACATTTTTATCTAATCGTGGACGGTGAGAGTTTCTTTTTTCAAACCCTGATTGTACAAACTACCCTGCCTTACTCTGTCCGCCCCGTTGGAAGGTCTCTTAAATCATAAAACATATGAAATGATAAATGTCACAGTCGGCAATTAAAGCACTTCACCTCAACAACTTTAGCTCGCGTATTTATAAGCTGACCTGCGGCAATAGGTGTGGCTAAAATTGATCGATCTTATGGTGAGGTTTGTCACGCTCTACCAGCGTTATAACGAGGGGATATGTGTCTGGGGCGTTGCTAGGAGACTGAAGACGTGAAAATGTACATTTTCCATCACGTCCACAGGTGTCTCTAGACTTAATATATTATATCCAAATTAAAGGCTTTCGTCATAATTCCTGTTGAGTTTTAGGACATATTTCTATAACCTCATACAGCATCGATCGGAACATTATCGATGTCATAGATAAATATATGATAATACATCTATATGTCACGACTGTCGTGATTGAGCCATGATTCGCAGCTGATTTATGTTCAGTCAATATGAAACAGGAAGCGATAATTGTTAGGTTAATGTGCCAATGTTTCAGAAACAGGGCGGGCGTATCGTAGAGGACTCGGGACGCGTGTTGATCCCGCCTGGATTACCGACAACTAGTAGTATTTAAAAACACAGACTTGTTTTCGTCATATTCAGATCTTCACTGTTCCGAGGACATTTGACAGCGTCGACTCATCGCTGTACCTGTTATTCATGACGTATCACGTGACTAGGAAGTGTACATTCGCTGACAGATGATACGCCCAGTATAATGACGATAAATTATTGCTAAAAATAACAGCTTATGTAAATGACCCAAACGGCCATGTTTAATCAGAGCAGGGACTGTTAACTAGTCTAGGCAATATAAAGAAGTAAACAGCATTCTCTTGTTTGGACCAAGTTACTGTAAGTGTTGGCTGCGATGTTTGGTTGGTATATTCATACATGGTCCCAACCAAACATCGCAGCCAACACTAAACTTCCTTGTTACGAAAGGTTGTTTCATCCAGTAAATATGCATAACGTACGTGTTTGAGACAACCACAAGTGACACATGCTTTCGGTTAATCCATGCTAGGCTAGTCAGGACCGTGTTCAGTGAAGATTAACAACTCGGACCAACACATTGGAAGGGCATAGGCAGTTAGCTGTTTTTTCTACCACCTGGTTACATCTGATATGAAGTCTGTCTCAGGTCATCAGCCATTATAGAAATGCATATCTGAATAACACCGTTTTTAAAAAGCTAAACAACAATGCCACCTGCCGCTACACTTGGCTACACAACTCACGTACGGACAGGTAAACAAGGAGTGAGTCAGGACTGTTTATAGTAGTATTTATACAAAACCGAACCGAGAAAAGGATGTGATCATCGTCAGATGCAAGATAGCTTACCTAAACACAGTAGTGCCAAAACGTATTTCATTTTGAGGTATGAATAAAGAAGCAATCCTCCGACGTCCCGCGAGTGTTGCACGACCTCCTTGTCCGAGCGGTATCTGTCGTCTGCGCCAGGTACGCAGCGTGTCCCACTTACTGATTGCCGTATATACTCTGTACAGCGTTACCCGCGAGCAGGTGGACGTCTGGGCCTATTGGATTAGGATCACTAGCACCTTCAGGTTCCCGTCCATGAACTTTTCAATTCATAGCCTGAGGCTTAATTCGGCGTATGTTTATGCTCCGCAGTGTCGCAACACTGTCCGTATGGACTTACTGATTCATATTGATTGTGGATAGCAATAACCTGCGTGATATTCTCGATGTCGCTGTCCCCTGGGCCCACCCGCTCGTCACTATATGGCTGAATAAATGCCGATGTGACGTAAAGCCCAACTTAACTCAACCCTGGGCCCACTCGCACAAATTGACTTCAGCTAAGATTCCATAATGCCAATATATATACTGCATTGGCGGATCCGGTGTTTGCTTTTTTTCTTTGTGTGTGTGTGTGTGTGTGTGTGTGCGTGTGCGTGTGCGTGTGCGTGCGCGATGCGGCTGTTAGAATTCCTGTTGACTGCTGTCTGAGTGTCGTGTCGTACATTTTCATACAGCTACGAGATGCCCAGTGCAAACTCGTATCCACATCATATCAACTGAAATATAAGCAAGTATAGCTTTTAAAAGACAGTATACACACACACACACACACACACACACACAGTATACACGCACGCACACACACACACATACACGCATACATACATACATACATACATACATACATACACACATACATACATACACACATACATACATACACATACATACATACACACACACACACACGCACACATACATACATACATACATACAGATATATGTATGCTCTGGAGTTTTGCGCTGGTATGGAAGGAACATTTTGACTCAATTGAGTGTGTATGATTTTACGCCGCTTTCAGCAATATTCCAGCAATATCACGGCGGGGGACACCAGAAAAGGGCTTCACACATTGTACCTATGTGAGGAATCGAACCCGGGTTTTCGGCGTGACGAGCCTACGCTTAAACCACCAGGTTAACACGAGGTCAGGAGGGGTCTGGGTAGACTAACATCTACTCTCTGAAATGAACATATTATACAGAAAAAAACAGTCCCAAAATCTTAATCATGAAATATAATAAAAAGGAGCCCAGAGACTTTCTTCATTTTTAGAAATTTCCTGAACTCTCCACATAAACTAGACTTGCATGGGCGTTCTTGGATAAATTTGTTTCGGGGTCTGTATGACAAACATGGGCCTAAGTTATCATGAATTCTCGAATTTACGTGACCAATCCCATTATTAGACCTATTGACGGCAGCTTCTGTTTAGAAGCAGAGAGGCAGATGTTGTGTAGGTTGATATGGTACCTTGGTCCTGCCAATGGTACTAGATATACACAGTGGTATATTTCTGGAGTGACTTCAGCTTACTTAAAACCCAGTAGTTGCTGATTTAATCATTAACTGTCAATGCATTTCCTTCTCCATGTACATAATACATTCTAAATATATGACCCATTAAAATAGTGCCCCTGGATGGCCCTGTATATACTTGAGTCAGAACTCTGGATTTCAACACAGACAGAATGAGTAGAGTAGAGAGACAGAGTTGGTTCTCAACGCACACCTGTTTTGTCATCGCAGTAAATGTGATGGATTCTGGAGAGAGAGCGCGTTATATACCATTAAAAAAAGTAGGGGATATTCCTTAACACTAGCCAATTCCAATGCATATGAGAAAAAGTAACATATATATATCCATACAGATGAAACATTTCCAAAGGAATGGAATAAATGTCACATTTTCTCTTAATTTCTCTTCAACATCTGTTTCCTCTTTGGAACGTAACGTTAATGAAATGTACCGGTTGAATCTTTCATGTACACTTATTTGTAGCATTTGGTCACGAAAGATACATGGGCTAAAAAAATATCACATGACATTTTTATTTTCGCACAGGCTACTGACCTGTTATATATGTAGCCGTCACGGACTTGGACAAGCACATCCTACAACTGACGAATGTCGTAAAATTGAGTAAAATATTTTCTGTAAGATTTAAAGTCATTCATATATTTAATTATTGTATCACGATTTATGTGAAAATTATCATATATTATTTTGTTTTATTATAACGATTCCGTAAATGTCGTAAAAGTAAACATCCGCCAGTCGACGTCGAGCCGTAAGTGTGTATGTGGAACACTTACTTACCTTGAGCATCGTCTTAGCATGACCGTGTGAAAACGTTCCATAGATAATACTACTCATGGCGTGTGCTTGGACCTAACTGTGTCTAAATCACGTGTGCTTGTCTTCACTGCTCTACGAGAAGACTGTTTCCGTACACCAACATGCCAACTTTGCTTTTTAACTAGCTTCTTGTTCTAGTGTTAATAATCGACTTATTACAACAACGAAGGTGTTCGTGCGGTGACATTGTTTTTGCCTCAGTGTCATTACGTCTATGACAGTACACCCATGTAATTGATTAATCTGCATGCAGGCATGGCTTTCAGTGAGTCTGTACAAGACTTGCATCATGTACATAGACCGACTGTTTATATAGCCAGTGTTGGTGTAGCAGGGCGTGGAGTCATCCCATAGTCATAGCCAGTAGCCAGTCAATCGGAGGTTGCATGGTGCAAATAGAAACTTCTGGCAACACAGAGTATCTTCTGTTTACTGTGATGTACATACAGCGATACCAGAACATCTGCATGTTTACAAGAAAACCACTACTTGCCATTATATGTCATATCAGAAGAAGTAGAATTTTAAATGTAAATAGTAAGTTTTATAATAATATCTATTTTGGTTTCTATGGCAACAGGCTGTCACAAAAATATTGTTTTTCCTTCCCGATGGCCATGTCTAAACGAAAACTGCAGCCAGAAAGATATAATATTGAAAAGAAAAGAGTTTTGGAAACAGTGACTGTTGGAAGAAGTACTATCACAGGTGAGGGAATAGATCTATTAGGCAGGTGTATCTCTTCACGAACTGAAAGTGTACAACATAATTGTGGTTGTTTGGAACAGGCCCCACTTAAGCCAGCAGAGGACAGATTGAAGTTCTCACAACCTGACCTGGTATATCCTAAACCTGTGATCACTAGGGGTGTCTCACTTATGTCTCAAAACAACATGAATAAAGAAGAAGTAGACATTGAAACTGAAGGAAATCGAATCACATGTGTTCAAGAGGATACCCTGAATCATAGAGAAAGTTGTGATGATGGTGGTATAAGTGGAAGTGCACAGGATGTGGATGTTAATATTGAAAGTAATGAAAATCATATGCATGCTACACAGCTTGAACAGTGTGTCAAAAATGTGGAGGTCCTGTATTGCCAGCCTAGTGAAGTCGCACTATTTGACCGATCTGACCCTCAGTCTCAACAACCTGACCGGTCAGATACAACACTTTCTGACCCTAAGTCTCAACAACCTGACCGGTCAGATACAACACTTTCTGACCCTCAGTCTCAACAACCTGACCGGTCAGATACAACACTTTCTGACCCTCAGTCTCAACAACCTGACCGGTCAGATACAACACTTTCTGACCCTCAGTCTCAACAACCTGACCGGTCAGATACAACACTTTCTGACCCTCAGTCTCAACAACCTGACCGGTCAGATACAACACTTTCTGACCCTCAGTCTCAACAACCTGACCAGTCAGATACAACACTTTCTGACCCTCAGTCTCAACAACCTGACCAGTCAGATACAACACTTTCTGACCCTCAGTGTCGACAGTTTGCCCAGTCAGATACGACACAACTTCACTTTCAGTCTCAACAATCAGTCAGATCAGACACAACTGTACCCCCCACAAAGGCTGACATGGGAACAAGCAGGAAGACAAAACCAACAGTTTTACCAAAGCATGTTCTTGAAAGGGTTGAACAGTTTGTATCCAAGAAATGTGACAGTGACATATCCTGGATACATCACGTTGTGATGCTTCCTTCAGACACATCACGTCTGGATTCAGAGGCAGAGGATGCATGTTTATTTGGAAATTTATTTTCTGAACAAGAAGATGTCAAGACCAGAGATCAAGCCATGCATGAGAAAAGTAAGTGGAGATACACTTCATGAAATACATATGTACCTACATTTGGCCCCATGTGTTTTTATTACTTTTATAGTAAACAAATTAAACATTAATTGACTTGCTGATATATGTTCCTCTCAGTCTTTGCAACAAACATTTGAGGGAGTATGAAAAGATGATTGAGTCGGCTGAAACAAATGTCAAACCACTGACTGCCAATATTACCAAAACTAAATTGACTAAACATGCTAAACATAATGTAAATTTGTTAGTGTAAATCTTAGGATGTTTTATCCCCCCACCTATCCCGATTGTTTTCAGTTTATCATAAAAGTTTCTCACTCCTTATTAGATGATGAGCTGGTACCATTGATCTCGCCTCCATTCATGATAGGAATAAAAATGCCTCTGTGAACTAACACTTGTCACTATGTGTCAGTAGGAGATTCAAACCCAAGGACGAATATCATGTTTAGAGACAGTTTCAGACACGAAGCTCTTTTGTAGAATCCTCTGTAGTTGGAAGTCATGAAGAATCTGGAGAAGTAGCAAAGGGGAAGGGAGACCGCCAGATACCACGGAAACCCTCTCCCAACTACTTTGTTGCTGTGCAGATAACAAACCCACAGGTGCTGTAATGTGTCTCCATCTTAGCTTGTGCAGGTTGGGAGCTGGTGCTAGTCTACTATCATAGATCACTCCTATATTTGTTATTGCGCTCCTGGACCGCCTCCGTGGTGTAGTGGTTAGAGCGTCCGCCCAGAGAGCGGAAGGTCGCGGGTTCGATTCTCGAACACGTCATATCAAAAGACGTTAAAATATGGTACTTGTTGGTCCCTGCCTGGCGCTCGGCATTAATGGGTACAACAAGGACTGGTCGTCTTGGAGTCAGTATAATGTGTCTGAGTGGGGTATTAATGCTTAACTGCGGCATGGTATCTCAGTGGGCTAGCACTATAAAACCAGCTTAAGTCTGGGCTAGTACAAGCAGCCGCACATACACACACATGCACGTCGTCATATGAGCGAAATATTCTCAAGCACGACGTAAAACCCAATTTTACCTCACCTCACCTATCGTGCTCCTGTGAGCAGTCTTACTGTTGTATATGAGGTGTACAGAGTGTACCTGCATCACTTCAGACTTCTTTCACACATTACGAAACATGATAAAACTGGAATATTGTTCACAGCAACCAACTTATTTATTTATTCATTCGCTCAAATTTTTTGTCTGTGGTGACACCAGTGTGCAGTATGTGGAGATTCAAAATCATTTTAGCAATGCACTACGCAGAAAGCTGTGTTTTGTGGTTGAAAATATAAATCCACATTTTCAGACTGCCCACCCTTGCTGCTTATGTGTTCTCCATTCTGAGGTGTTACCAAGATTACCCTGTTTACTGTCTACAGATCCACTCGGGACTGTCACATGTCCAACAGGAAGTGATGTCTGTCAACCACAAGATGAAGGAGGTGATGATTAAATTGCCAACTTTACATATTACTCTCATGGTCATGAGCTTGCAGACAGAGGAGGACATTGCAAGGTAAGTGCTATGTTTTGCAGCTGAGATTAACCCAGTGTGTATTTGAGATGGAACAGGTCCGTACTTCCCTTGCTTTTCCAAAGACTAGAAAGAGCTGACTCGAGGAGTGAGTACTTAAAGTGTTTATTCAGGGGTGGAACAGTGCAAGCTACCGACACACTCATGACACTACACAAGACACACTTCATGACACTACTCAAGACACACTTCATAACACTACTCAAGACACACTTCATGACACTACACAAGACACACTTCATGACACTACTCAAGACACACTTCATAACACTACTCAAGACACACTTCATGACACTACTCAAGACACACCTCATAACACTACTCAAGACACACTTCATGACACTACTCAAGACACACCTCATGGCACTACTCAAGACACACTTCATGACACTACTCAAGACACACTTCATGACACTACTCAAGACACACTTCATGACACTACTCAAGACACTTCATGACACTACTCATGACACTACTCAAGACACACGTCATGACACTACTCAAGACACACTTCATGACACTACTTCATACACTTCATGACACTACTCAAGACACACTTCATGACACTACTTGACATATTACTTGACACAAGACATGATACACTATTTGACACACTACTTACAGAGCGAGGGCAGCACTGACTGAGAGTGGCTGTGAGCTGAGGGAGAGGTTCAAGACCCTGCCAGTCCTGGAGGTGGCAGGACTGGGAACGTTCCGGAATCAGGTTGTGTTTGCCACGGTCTCACCTGGTGATGCTCTTGATGACCTCACCCACATACACCGTAAGTTGAGATTATCTTTCACTTATTTCTGTATCTTGCTCAGTGTCTAACTTTAGTCTTTCAAAAAGATCACAAACTGCTTTCCTTCAGAATGGTTTTGCAAAGAAATTATGTAGACATTAATCATTCTTTCCTGATATTGTTAGCGAATTAGCAGATATGACAGTCAACCATGTCATCTGGAAATGAGACAATATATAACTCTAAATGTTCCTGGATCACAAGATCAGGCAGTACCGGGCATGTTGAGGTCATAGACTGTGCTTACTATATTCAAATAAGATGTCCCTAACATTTAGATATTCGTCAAATTATTTAACACAATCAGTGAGTAACAAAATTAGCTAATTAAGTCACAGTTAAAAGTTGGTTTTCCCAACTTGTCCTCCAACTTTGCCATCATTGTTACCAGACTTATTTTCTTTGGGGTGCCTCTATAAGGAGTGCAATGTGGCAGTGTTCTAGAAAGGGCCTTGATGTAGTTATATACATGCAAGTCTGTGTTGCTGCACAGAATGTGTAATAGACAAGATGGCTGACCATGAAGTAGTCTCCACAGAGACCAAAGGCCTGACTCCTCACATCACCATCATGAAGATGAGCAAGGTCAAGGCTGCTTTCAGAAGGTCAGGTAAGTTGTGTAATTGTCTGCAAGCCAGAGAAACACAAGATGTGCATGTGTCGGGCATTTCCAGCTTATTAGTTCATAACATAATTGAAAAATTATCTTCTTCTGGACACTGAGACATGACGGGTTGTCTAAACAAATGTTTTCTGTTTCTGGGGCATGACACCCAAACCGTCGAATATGTCTGGATGAAATTTGCTATAAAGATTAGCCAAGTGGTGAACTGGTGCCATTTCAGGATCTGGTATATACATTTCAGGATCTGGTATATACATTTCAGGATCTGGTATATACATTTCAGGATCTGGTATATTAATTTCAGGATCTGTTATATACATTTCAGGATCTGGTATATACATTTCAGGATCTGGTATATTAATTTCAGGATCTGTTATATACATTTCAGGATCTGGTATACTAATTTCAGGATCTGGTATATTAATTTCATGATCTGGTATATACATTTCATGATGTGGTATATACATTTCAGGATCTGTTATATACATTTCAGGATCTGGTATATATACATTTCAGGATCTGGTATATACATTTCAGGATCTGGTATATTATTTCATCTGGTATATACATTTCAGGATCTGGTATATTAATTTCATGATCTGGTATATACATTTCATGATCTGGTATATACATTTCAGGATCTGGTATATTAATTTCAGGATCTGGTATATTAATTTCAGGATCTGGTATATACATTTCAGGATCTGGTATATACATTTCAGGATCTGGTACATACATTTCAGGATCTGGTACATTACATTTCAGGATCTGGTACATTAATTTCAGGATCTGGTACATTAATTTCAGGATCTGGTATATACATGTCATGATCTGGTATATACATTTCAGGATCTGGTATATTAATTTCATGATCTGGTATATTAATTTCATAATCTGGTATATTAATTTCAGGATCTGGTATATACATGTCATGATGTGGTATATTAATTTCAGGATCTGGTATATACATGTCAGGATCTGGTATATACATTTCATGATCTGGTATATTAATTTCAGGATCTGGTATATTAATTTCAGGATCTGGTATATACATTTCATGATCTGGTATATTAATTTCATGATCTGGTATATTAATTTCAGGATCTGGTATATACATGTCAGGATCTGGTATATACATGTCATGATGTGGTATATACATGTCAGGATGTGGTATATACATGTCAGGATGTTGTATATACAATTCAGGATCTGGTATATACATGTCAGGATCTGGTATATACATTTCAGGATCTGATCTGGTATATACATTTCAGGATCTGGTATATACATTTCAGGATCTGGTATATTAATTTCATGATCTGGTATAAACATGTATTACTTCTTTTTTATTTGTTTCAATTTTCTTTCTTTTCTTTTTTGACAACAAGTTGGACTTTACTGAATACAAAGGAAATACACTAAAATGAAGGATATCTATCCTTTGGCAATGAACCAAAAGTTGGGTAAAAGTAGCTGAACTTCATTCCCAAAAAGCAATATTTCTTAATGTGCCATATCCTGAAGACACTTGTTTAGAAAGAATGCTCTAGTCATTTTCTGTAACCACATGAACCTATGTTCTAGATGTTTTATACAAACGTGTGATGAACATGATGGATGAATATTGAAACAGTTATCTTAGATCTGTACAGGTCTTGGTGTGTTTATTGCTGAAGACTCTTTGTGCCCTATCAGGCTGAAGTAGAATGGAAATATCTCTATAGCTGTTAGTAGTCATGTTGAAATTATGTTTTCAGTTGCCAAGAAAATTGACCCATCTTTATACAGCCAGTTTAGGAAATGACGTTTCAGGATCTGGTATATACATTTCATGATGTGGTATATACATTTCATGATCTGGTATATACATTTCAGGATCTGGTATATTAATTTCAGGATCTGTTATATACATTTCAGGATCTGGTATATACATGTCAGGATCTGGTATATTAATTTCATGATCTGGTATATTAATTTCATGATCTGGTATATACATTTCATGATGTGGTATATACATTTCATGATCTGGTATATTAATTTCATGATCTGGTATATACATTTCATGATATGGTATATACATTTCAGGATCTGTTATATACATTTCAGGATCTGGTATATACATTTCAGGATCTGGTATATTAATTTCAGGATCTGGTATATTAATTTCAGGATCTGGTATATACATTTCAGGATCTGGTACATACATTTCAGGATCTGGTACATACATTTCAGGATCTGGTACATTAATTTCAGGATCTGGTATATTAATTTCAGGATCTGGTATATACATGTCATGATCTGGTATATACATTTCAGGATCTGGTATATTAATTTCAGGATCTGGTATATTAATTTCAGGATCTGGTATATACATGTCAGGATCTGGTATATACATTTCAGGATCTGGTATATTAATTTCAGGATCTGGTATATTAATTTCAGGATCTGGTATATACATGTCAGGATCTGGTATATTAATTTCAGGATCTGGTATATTAATTTCAGGATCTGGTATATACATGTCAGGATCTGGTATATTAATTTCAGGATCTGGTATATTAATTTCAGGATCTGGTATATACATGTCAGGATCTGGTATATACATGTCAGGATCTGGTATATACATGTCATGATGTGGTATATACATGTCAGGATGTGGTATATACATGTCAGGATGTGGTATATACATGTCATGATGTGGTGTATACATGTCAGGATGTGGTATATACATGTCAGGATGTTGTATATACAATTCAGGATCTGGTATATACATGTCAGGATCTGGTATATACATTTCAGGATCTGATCTGGTATATACATTTCAGGATCTGGTATATACATTTCAGGATCTGGTATATTAATTTCATGATCTGGTATAAACATGTATTACTTCTTTTTTATTTGTTTCAATTTTCTTTCTTTTCTTTTTTGACAACAAGTTGGACTTTACTGAATACAAAGGAAATACACTAAAATGAAGGATATCTATCCTTTGGCAATGAACCAAAAGTTGGGTAAAAGTAGCTGAACTTCATTCCCAAAAAGCAATATTTCTTAATGTGCCATATCCTGAAGACACTTGTTTAGAAAGAATGCTCTAGTCATTTTCTGTAACCACATGAACCTATGTTCTAGATGTTTTATACAAACGTGTGATGAACATGATGGATGAATATTGAAACAGTTATCTTAGATCTGTACAGGTCTTGGTGTGTTTATTGCTGAAGACTCTTTGTGCCCTATCAGGCTGAAGTAGAATGGAAATATCTCTATAGCTGTTAGTAGTCATGTTGAAATTATGTTTTCAGTTGCCAAGAAAATTGACCCATCTTTATACAGCCAGTTTAAGGAAATGACGTTTGGCACAGAGACCGTACAGAGGCTGCAGCTATGTGCAATGTTGAAGCCCAAAGACACATCTGGCTATTACCATGTAGCTCATGAGGTGTACCTAGGTACATACGGACTTACACTCAACCACATGTAGTCATTTGGTGACACTTCTAGTTCTGTTTAGTTTTAGGATTTTTTCTGATAGACTTAAAACCCAGGGCCTCGGTGGTTGAAAGTGCTGAAGTTCACTAATCGGAGTTGAGTCCCTTGGTTTAGCTACATCTGCTGAACTCGTAAAATAACGAGTCCAAAGAACATAAACTGTAAATCACCATGACTCTAATTTTTCAAAGTCTCTGTAAAAATCTATAACTGGGTTGTATCCCTATTTAACACAGTTTGTCACTGTGCCAGATTAATGAAATTATCTGATAAAACTGACATACCGGTATGTGTCAAGTTTTGTTTTGCATGTTGTATGGTCTTCCTATACGTTTTCAGGACAAGGGGAAGTAACTGTTTCTGAGCTCAGTCGCTGTCTGGTCCAGTCATCCATTGTATCAGCCTTAGAGAAAGTTAAGCTGGATAGTGTCATGTCTCAAATGCAAGTAAATTCACAGGACAGTAAAGGAAAACCAGAACATAAGCCACAGAAAAAGAAACAAAAGAGTAAGAAGTCCAAAGAAGTGAAAAAGTAAAGCAGGCATGGTTGTACTGTATTAACACCAGGTAAAACTCATCTGTCGAGTAGAGCCAAGAACTGTTTGCATAATAACCATTCACTGTAAAAACTTGTGGACATGCTTAATGTTCATACTCAGGGGTAACTAACCCTGACACTGCCACGTTGACTACCTGTGTGGAAGTGATATGCCTGGGACACTGCCACGTTGACTCCGTGTGTGGGTGTGATATACCTGGAACACTGCCACATGGACTACCTGTGTGGGTGTGACATACCTGGATCACTGCCACGTTGACTCCCTGTGTGGGTGTGACATACCTGGAACACTGCCACGTTGACTCCCTGCGTGGGTGTGATATACCTGGAACACTGCCACGTTGACTCCCTGCGTGGAAGTGACATACCTGGAACACTGCCACATGGACTGCCTTGTGTGGGTGTGACATACCTGGATCAATGCCATGTTGACTCCCTGTGTGGGTGTGACATACCTGGAACACTGCCACGTTGACTCCCTGCGTGGGTGTGATATACCTGGAACACTGCCACGTTGACTCCCTGCGTGGAAGTGACATACCTGGAACACTGCCATGTGGACTGCCTGTGTGGAAGTGACATACCTGGAACACTGCCATGTGGACTGCCTGTGTGGGTGTGATATACCTGGAACACTGCCATGTGGACTCCCTGTGTGGGTGTGATATACCTGGAACCCTGCCATGTGGACTCCCTGTGTGGAAGTGATATACCTGGAACACTGCCATGTGGACTGCCTGTGTGGAAGTGACATACCTGGAACACTGCCACATGGACTGCCTGCGTGGGTGTGATATACCTGGAAAACTGCCACGTTGACTCCCTGTGTGGGTGTGACATACCTGGAACACTGCCACATGGACTGCCTGTGTGGGTGTGATATACCTGGAACACTGCCATGTTGACACTGGACCTGCCTGACTCCCCTGTGGGGAAGTGATATACCTGGAACACTGCCATGTGGACTGCTTGTGTGGGTGTGACATACCTGGAACACTGCCACGTTGACTCCCTGTGTGGGTGTGATATACCTGGAACACTGCCACGTTGACTCCTGTGTGGGTGTGATATACCTGGAACACTGCCACACGTTGGACTCCCCTGTGTGGGTGTGATATACCTGGAACACTGCCATGCTTGACTCCCCTGTGTGGGTGTGATATACCTGGAACACGTGCCATGTGGGTGACTACCTGGAACACTGCCACGTTGTGTGGGTGTGATATACCTGGAACACTGCCACGTTGACTCCCCCTCTGGAACACTGCCACTGTGTGGAAGTGACATACCTGGAACACTGCCATGTGGACTGCCCTGTGGGTGTGATATACCTGGAACACTGCCACGTGGACTGCCCGCGCCCGCGTGTGTGATATACCTGGGACACTGCCACATGGACTGCCTGCGCGGGTGTGATATACCTGGGACACTGCCACATGGACACATATACCTGGACTCCCCACATGGACTGCCTGCGGGGTGTGATATACCTGGAACACTGCCATGTTGACTCCCTGTGTGGGTGTGATATACCTGGAACACTGCCACGTTGACTCCCTGTGTGGAAGTGATATACCTGGAACACTGCCATGTGGACTGCTTGTGTGGGTGTGATATACCTGGAACACTGCCACGTTGACTCCCTGTGTGGAAGTGATATACCTGGAACATTGCCATGTGGACTGCTTGTGTGGGTGTGACATACCTGGAACACTGCCATGTGGACTGCTTGTGTGGGTGTGACATACCTGGAACACTGCCACGTTGACTCCCTGTGTGGAAGTGATATACCTGGAACACTGCCATGTGGACTGCTTGTGTGGGTGTGACATACCTGGAACACTGCCACATGGACTGCCTGCGTGGGTGTGATATACCTGGAACACTGCCACGTTGACTCCCTGTTTGGAAGTGATATACCTGGAACACTGCCATGTGGACTGCTTGTGTGGGTGTGACATACCTGGAACACTACCTCGTTGACTCCCTGTGTGGATGTGATATACCTGGAACATTGCCATGTGGACTGCCTTTGTGGGTCTGACATACCTGGAACACTGCCACATGGACTGCCTGTGTGGAAGTGATATATAGTATGACCAGAAATTATTGAGAATTTTAGGAATATGTTTAATTGTTTAATATGTTTAAGTGCTTGGTTTCATTCAAGAGAGACAACTCCGTTAATCCTTTTTCCTTAGTTTGTGAAGAATTATCCCCCTTTGTTTACTTGCTAGCAGACGACATTTTCAGTGATCCTCAGAATGGATGATTTAGAGAAGAGGAAGTTGATTTTAGAGTATTATAACAAGGACATCAGATCAGCTAAAGTGATTTCAAGTAGAACAGGCATCAATTTGTCCACTGTTTATCGTGTTTTGAAAAATATTACAAATGGATATTGCATTGAGCACCAGGGAGGCGCAGGTAGGCCTAGAAAATTGACTGTCGGTGACAGGAGGCGGCTCTTCTTTCATTTCAGCAATATTTGTATTTTAAGTTGATACAGTTATCATTAGAAGACAGGAATTATTTAAATGCTACAGTAGGTGACTTGGAGATGTACCATTCAGGAATATATTGTTTACGCAAATCTCATTAAGATGGACAGACAAATAAAAATTGAAATAGGTACTTTACACAATGGGCTAGTTCTAATATATGTTAATGGACATACATCTTCCTTCATTAACCTATAGGAATCATATTGTGAGCTTTCATCTCACACTGAGTGCCTATCTTGAATAAATATATTGATAGCAAAAAGATTCACATTGCCAGATGAGTGGTTTAGCCACATGAAACCATAACCATGAGAAAATATGTTTCTTACATGAGATGCCCATGTTCCTTTAGCCAAATCATTCAGATGAACAAGCATATTCATCTTTGGGGTAGTCTATTTTCATGCATATACAGTGCAACCAGAAATTATTGAGAATTTAAAGATTGTAATTTTGAAACAAAATTTCACTCATTACTCACGTATTAAATGTGAATATTAGCAGAACATAACTCCAGATTCAAAGACAGGTGAACAGTTAGTATTTTGTCAAGTCACCGTGGGCTTTTCTAAACCCCTTTGTTTGTTTTTAGAAACAAGAATACCAAACCGCCTCCTGAAAATTAAAAAAAAAAAAATTACAATCTCTAATTCTCAATACTTTCTGGTTGTCCTGTATATGCATTAACTGTAACAACTTAAAACTATAACAATACATTTACAATGCAATGTGTAAGCGTGATACTCTGTTAAAATCATCAGTGTATTCAAGCTATATATGATTGTATAAGGCCTGAAATACAAACATCTTTTGAATTCAACATCCATCAAAATTGTAAAATTATACAATAATTGCATTATAGAAATTGACAAGAAAATTGCAATATTACCTCCCTTGTCCAGATGTAAATACAATTGTCAACTACCCATGTTTTATTTTGTTGTTGTTCATACTTTACGTGGCTGTTTTTTTCTTGGGGTTGGACAAGCATGTTCCATTTTGGGGTCATTCTTTCTTGTGAGAAGTTCTGGTAGAACTACATGCAAGAAGTAAAAGTCCAGTTTGACTTTCAAAGTATCCCATATTGTCTTATTCTTAAATATTTCGTTCTACATGAAGACCTTTAGATGACCACACCACAAAGTCACAAAATTCAAGATTACATACATGTAACTGTCTTTGAATTTGATAGTAATGATTGTGAGAAAGCTTAAGTGCATTGCTACAGAGTGAGTTTGACATAGTGTGGGGATTCAGGAAGAACTGTTGGTCTGCTAACTTGCATGGATGTTCATCTTTATATTTATAGAGACATTTCACCCCAACTAGTCCTCGCCCGCAGCAATCACATGACACATAAGAATCAGGAGTTGCACCTTTGTGAGGAAAATCTGGGTTCACAACTAAACCTGAATTACTTAAGGCAAGATTGAAATGAGATGACATCATAAGGCACTGGTAGTGTTTAAGAGCATCTTTCTCATGCTTTAGACCCCATTCACAGGAATCTCGCATCTCAGTTCGGCAATAATTGTTTTTACTGTCTGTAGTCTGGTCGTATTGCATGATCTTTTCCAATAAGGAAAACTGATCTGGTTTACATCTACAATGAAAAATACTACCAAAGTTGGAGGCTGTTAAACGTCCCACTCGGTGGTCAAACCAGGTTGACAATTTACTCTGACCGGCTGTTGCCTTCTCTAGTGCTGCAACCATGTCAGGGGTTACCTTTACCTGATCTGAAAACACTTTCTTACACATAATTTGTAGACTTTGCTCAGACAAATACTTATTTTTTTCATCATAACAGTTAATGGTGAAGGCAAAACTTCATTTTGTATCTGAGTCCAGTCGGTAATGACTGGGTGAGTACCGTATATGACCGTCTAAATAAGACGACCCCCAAACTTGACCCTTAAAATCAGTGTCAAAATGGTATGTTTCGTGCATAAGTCGATCCCCCGCGATGGGGTCCTAATTGCGGCAAACACAGACAACTGGCAGTTACCAATAATTGTAAACCAAAAGTCACTGTGTTCTTTAATATGATTGGTTGAAAAACGTGATCAAATGGTATTTCGATTCCCGGAAATTCGCTGCGTATTAATACATACAAGCATTGCTCACACCATTGTATTGTTACGTCGTCAGCTGAGATGACGTCATTCAAATCATATTGTGATGTAAAGTCCAAATGACGTCACAAATGAGCAGTTCCAGATGCTACCATGGGAGACAGCCAAAACGGCCGGCTGATGACATTGCACTGCTGTACCCGTACTCTATGTCAATGAGTGCAGACACAAAAACGTGTGTGGACCTTTTGGTTTACTTTTGTGTTTACAATGTCGATAAACATCATGTGTTGGCCAATTTCCGGGTGTTATTGAGTATTTGAAGCACGGGAATATTCCATTTGAAACCTCCGGCTGATATATATATTGAACACTGCTTCAACACAGCCTTCTTTCATGGCGTGCCGTTGCTAAGGAAACAAAACGGAAGTGCGCAAAAAAATAAATGCGCAATCAAAATAAAAATGGCGGATAGGTATCCGGTATTCTATCTTGCCCCTAATAGACCGATCCAGTCTGTCAATCAAAACTGGCGCATGCGTCAAT